CCCTCCCCCAACCCCCGAAAAGAAATTATAATAGAGCAACTAGAGAAATACACAACCTTAAAAAACATATCACTGTGTTGTGTATGTGGAGAATAGAGTGTGTTTTCTCTGAAATAGGCACTTAACACACCTGATACAGGTTTAGTAATGATATAAACCTATAATTTTCCATTTCCATCAACCATTGCGCAATCATCTCCAGTCGTTCTTCCTTCCTTCCTTCCTTCCTTCCTTCCTTCCTTCCTTCCTTCCTTCCTTCCTTCCTTCTTTCCTTCCTTCCTTCCTTCCTTCCTTCATTCCTTCCTTCCTTCATTAATTCATTAATTAAAAATTAGGCCTATTATTTTTTATATTTATTCAAGTTTCCTTACTTACTAAATGCACTGGTTCACACAGGGCCAACGTTTACGTTTCATAGACAATAATAAATATGTAGCCTTTCAATGGTTAGCCAACAATGTTTTATAGATCTAGAGAAACTGGAGAAATACAAAAACCTGTGAAAAATTGCACTGGTCTCGCTTGCTGAAATGTGGTTTTCTTTGGTGTTATTGAAAAAATATACTCAGATTGTAAGGCCCTCTGTAATACTCATCTAATACAGCTTGTGAGCGTAGAGTGATAAAATAAACTAATTGCCCAATTCTCCCCAACAAGTGTAAAAGAATGTTTTTCTTTCCTTTTTTTTCTTTCTTTCTTTTTTTCTTTCTTTCTTTCTTTCTTCTTTTCGTTTTTTAAAAATTTATTTTTTATGCGGGAGCTGATTCATACTATCCATTTCGTGTGAGGCTTCATGTAAACCCACTGAGGTTAGTTGTTCTAGTCTCCCGCCTTCTTTCGGCTGCTTAAAGGGGTTGTTGTCTCCCCTTCCACCGCCCCACCCCACCCCACCTCCAAATAAAAAGAAACAAAGAGTTCTCCAAATTTCTAGTTTTCATAATAATGCTACTTGAGAAACTGCAGAGAAAAACGAAATGCTGTTGTGTTTACTCGCTCAAGATAAGCCAACGTAGAAAAAATAGAGGGGAGGGGCATTTAGGACCCCCCCCCCCCTTTAAAAAAAAATACTTGCTTTTGTCAAAAATAGATTTTGGCCTACCTTCTGTCCGTGAGTTCACTGTTGCGAAAATAATTATCTTCTTCTGAAAATTTCAAAGTGAAAAATTTGAGAATTTTATGTTTTTACATGGACACTGATGTATTAAATAATATTGCGTGTCAAAGACTCGTGATGATGATAATGATGATCCTTGCTTATATAGTCTACGTTTTCATTTATTTATTATTTTGTGTTTTTTTAACAAGAAAAAAGAGGCTGTGTATGTAGTGTTCTCTTCTTTATAACGTGGTTTTGTCAAAAATAGATCTCGGCCTTCCCCACCAAGGCAGTTCTACTGACTGAAGTGTCTTTAGGCCATTCCCAAATGGGGGATATAACATGTTCTTATGCTCAGTAGAATTATAAATAGGCTGGTTTGTCAAAGTCATGCTCATACTGTGCCGGAACAACATAGGGGGAACGGCTGCTTTTTCTTTCCCCATCCTTACCTTCGTCATTTTCCTCTACTTCTTTTTGTATGTTTGTCACTCTCTTGTAAACTGCTATTTCCGGGGTGCCTTGATATCGAAGCAGATTTTGTGCTGTTGAGGCTAGAGGGGTGAGCAGAGTAAGCCTGATTCCCCGTTTGGACTTCTCTGTTGACATCCACCCCTTGGCGCTGATAATATGGCCTTATGCAGTTGCGAACGCCGTAAAACCTTACTAAAACTAAACTAAGACGTTGTACCTAGATTCTGTCCGTGGGTTCAGTGTTGCGAAAACATGATCTACAGCCTGGAAAATAATCATCTCCTTGTGAAATTTTTAAAGTGATTAAAAATAGTAGATGTATTTCATGTACATAATACTGTGTGGCAAAGCTTCATGGTGATGATAATGGTGATCCTTGCTTATTATATAGGCTGAGATTGCATTTATTTATCATTTCAATAGTTTTTCAAGCATTAAGTAAAAGGCGCTGTATCATACTGTTTGTAGTGTTCTCAATTTTATCGTCCTAAAGTAGATGTCGATATTAGGTGTGGGTGAGGTGTTGCAATGTCTTTGGCTGTTTTGTTTTGTTTTGTTATTTCTGTTGTTTGTAGTACAACAATGACAACTCTAATCACGTTGTAAGTTTTGTTTTTCTGAGAGATTATGGTTTGATTAGTTTTACTCTCTGCTTTCGACAAAAAAATTACTTCGACAAGAGGAAAAGGGGTGGATAAAAATGGTATTTCTGTTGGTTTTTTTGAGTAGCTTACCTAGACGTGCATGTGTACAATCATTGAACGTACAGACTGATACGTGGGCTGAAATTGTAACCTTGTTCTCTCAATAAGACCCCAAGAGCTAGACTAAGCACCAGACACAATAATTAAGGTCCAGTGTAGTAACAGAACAAATCTCCTTTCAGTCAAGGTATAAAAACACTAATTTCTCACATTAAACACAGGCAACTTCATTTTGATTGCTACTAACAGAAGGCTCCAATGGGTTGCTGATGGGCTGGGGTAAATTAAAAACAAATTCTGACTCAAATCGTGAAATGTCAAAGGTTGGATTTCTGCTACACACACATAGTGGAGCCATTCCACCTGACGTAGCCTGCATACATTTCCCCTGTATTTTATAAATTGCAAGGAACGTGCAGTCATTTTCTAGACGTGATTAATTCCAAGATAAATAGAGATACATGTACTGAAAAGACCTGCATTATGTTCGTTTCCCCTCCCCTCATCTCTTTCCCTTAGATCAGGTCGTAATCATGTTGTTATGTGGAAATGTATTGTGCCCACACGCAAAATGCGTGATAACTTTCAAACCTTTTTTTTTCCTTTCAGAAATGCAATAGGTAAAAAGAGAAAAGATAGGTATACAAATGATTGTTACAGAGGACAATAACGTAGCAATCTTACGGAACAATACGCGATTAATACTGGTATACTATGCAATAAAGATTTTTACAAAGCGCAAGATTTTCTGGCCTTGACATTGATACTTATTTAGAAGATTGACCCAGGCTGTGGTGACTTTTTCAGAATAAAAGGAATGAAGGGGTCGGGGGGGAGGGAGGTCGATTCGATATTTTTTTTTAAACTCATAAAGCAATGCACTTTCTCTGAGTCGCATTTACACACACACACTCACACACACACACACACACACACACACTCTCTC